AACAGGTGATCACGGCAATTATAAAGATTAAGAAAGGCGAAGAAATGAGCAAGAAAAGATTGCCAAAATTCATAAATTTGAAGAAACAGGCAATGCTAATGTACCAATGACAGCAAGGAAACGAAGCTGCCGGCTAAACCTCTTGCCCAATTGCCCTTCGATTCTATGTGATATGCAAATGCCCCATCTCTTGACTCGAATTCCGTGATAAGTAATGATGTGATTAGAAATGAAATGGTGACTGTTTTCCGGTGCTAAGTAATTGTGCAGCGATAGCCCAGTACAACTGCGTTCGTCCTGTGTGAGCATCCTATAGAACTAACATTTGGTGTCACGAACAATTGACCAGGTGGGAAGGAAACGAGTTTTTTTTGTAAGTAATAAACTTACCTTAGGTAGTACGGAGTTCTGTTTTAGCAGTGATTTGATGGTTTCTTTTTGCTCAGCAGTCAGTTCGCCTCGTGGGAATTCAACATCAACGGTTACATAGAGAATGCCCTTTTTATTGTTATTCTCCATGGCTGGCATTCCCTCGTCTTTTTTCCGAATTCTTGCACCTGGCCACGTTATTTTTTCGCGCACAATCTGCAAACAGAGTCTTAAAACTGTTCTCAATATTCCTCAAAAGAAGAAGGGTGAAAAACTGCTTTCTACTCATTTATTGGTTTTCATGCTGAAAGTTCTTGACCTCAGGTTTCACAGACTTAACTTCAATCCTCTTGAACGGCTGGCAAAAAGTAAATGAAGAGAACCTCAACTTTGTGTCCGTCGAGGTGCGTTATTTCAGTTTTGAAACCATTTAAAGCGTCCTGCAATGAAATGGTAAGATTTGTGTAAAGATCCAGGCCACGCCGCTCGAATACTGGATGTTTTTCGATCCTAAACACGAATTTCAGGTCACCCGGTTCACCTTCAATGTGTGGCTCACCCTCGCCGGAGAATGTCTGTGTTTGACCATCATCCACTCCAGCTTCAATTTCTACCTGAAATTCCACGAGAAAAAAAAATCAAGTTAATTCAATTATTAAAAAAATCTGGTTCAGTTCATTTTTTTTTCAAAAAACATTCCAAAGAAGCTCAAAAAGTAACACGTATTAACACCAAACACCAGCCTATAAGTCTCTCGATGGTCTCCTCTTCTGAGGTTTGCTTACATCCGCTACAGAGGCCAGGCAAGCTGTTCGAGATAACAATCCTCAAGCGGTCTTTACCGTGAGCGAATCTAAGACAAAAGCTGTCTTGTGGTTGCAATATTTCACCAACAGTACAGAAGGAATAACCAGGAATTACTTGATATTGATCAGAGTAACTAAAAAAGTTGTCAACTGCAACTGACAAACAAATTCTGAACTATAACTGATCTGAGTAATCCAGAGAGAACAAATATTTATCCTATAGGAACACAAACAACTCTTTATCGATAATTATTCGTGGAAATGATGATTTTTTTTTGCACTTAATAATAATTCTAATGGATAATGATTTTTTTCAAATAATAATTCATGCGCATCCTATACTTGCATGTGAGTTGAGTAACGATAATGTGTAGAAGAATATACCTCGAGGGTCCTCGATTCGTGTACCAGCATCACGTTTGGGCAGTCATCACATACTTTCATTTGAAACATCTGGAACCTCCCAGCACCCAGCTGTTCAGTGCGCATCTCGTGGCGACAGTTACATTTTCTGGTACCCGCAGTTTGCTTATATAAAGATTTCAACCTGCAAAAAATAAACCATCAAAATTTTTTCAACAAAAATGCGAAGATATTTCTTTTAGATTTTCATCCACAAAGTACCAATAATTGGGGCTATCAGCTTTTCCCTTACAACTTGCCGTGACCTAGGAGTGAAAATACTCGGGACAAAGTGGTGATGCCTAATCCACACCAAAGTAGAGGCGGATTCAGGACGGACTCCCAAAAAGCGGGGGAAAGAGGCGGAGGGGGGCGGGGGCGGAGGGAGGAGGCAAAGTGAGGCTCTTGAGAGGAGGAAGGAAGGAGGGGAGAAGGAAGTGTGGAAGAGAATTTTCTTTGGTTTTAGCTTTAGACCCACACTTTTGTAGCACTGGTAGCTAATCCGCAAGACCCATTACTTACTCCCTCCCCTTACTCCTCCTGGATCCACCTATGCACCAAGGACATCTCAAAATGGCCAAAGCCTTACCATGTGCTCGTTTCGGGAAAATCACTGAGCTGGTAATCCTTTTAGGAGACGAAACATGCGTCAGGATTTACGGCAAGATAATCATCAGACGATCCAGCGTCAGTCAGAGCAGCTGGAGAAGTTGTCAGCTGCATAAATGCATGACAAGACTATAGAACTGCAGTTACTCCAAGTATAAAGTTTTACCCTGTTACTTCTCATAAAAAACGTAAAATTTTTACAAACCTTGTCACTTCGACGAAATTTCCACTGTATGCTTCCTCGAGGCTAACCCATAGATCCATGATAACATCGGCACCACGTGGAATGCCCTCTTCTCGATGACCGCCTCCACCGAAGAAATCACCAAAGAA